GTTCAGACCTATGTGAACAGTAGGACTAGGGCGGATCTAGACAACATTTTAAGGGGTGATGTTTTAGAAAATAATATAGGAGGTTATAATTTTTCGGACGTTCGGGGGCAGCGTCCTAAATTTTTTTAGAGTTATTCACAAAATATTGCTAAAATAAGTATATATTTATAATTTTGAAGTAAATATATTTTAGTAGTTCTATTGGGTAAATTACAAACACCCCCCTGAGGTATGGTCAAATTACAAAAATCCCCCTCTTGTTTGGATAATTACATCTACCCCTCAACTATGATTTTTTCATAGACCTCCACCTCTATGGTGCCAAATTCAACATAGTCATCTAGATTTCGTGAAATGTGATCTAGTTTGTACTCTTTTTGTGTAAAAAATACAGTTTCCGATGCACCACAAACTGATATATACAAGCTAAAAATCACATATTATGATCATCTTGCTTCATAATGTAGAGTTTGAATGGGATAAAACGGGTACAAAAGTTATAATATTCCATATAATCTCGAAGATTCCACTAAATTTGATGAGTTGAGGGGGGTGGTTGTAATTATTCAAACAAGAGGGGCGTCTCTGTAATATGACCATACCTCAGGGGGGTGTTTGTAATTTACCCCTAGTTCTATTTTATATTGTAATAACAAAATAAAGAAAACAATATTTAAAATTACATAAAAGAATAGAGAGAAGAAAATACAAATAGAGGAGCAAAACATATTCGTATAATAGTATGTCGAAAAGCAATAACAAAGTTAGAATTTTTTGTTGGGAGCGGCTTCTCCCTGTCCCTTAGTAAATTCGTCACTGTCCATCACTCGGATTGATTGTGATTCCAGAATGGACGGAAGTGCTTACCTTTCCCCATCTTAAGCAATCTTAAACAATGCGTATAATTTTTTGTTGGGAGCGGCTTCTCCCTGTCCCTTAGTAAATCCGCCACTGCCCATCACTCGGATTGATTGTGATTCCACAATGGACGGAAGTACTTACCTTTCCCCATCTTAAACAATGCATATCGTTTAATTGGGAATTTTCCAACCAAGCATTTACCTGGATAACATAATAGTCGGAAATGATAAATATAATTTAGCTGAAGTTTCATCGAGGGAGGACAACAGTTGTTCGCCGGTGGATGGAAAATTGACGATATTGAAGAACAGGCATAATGACTTTATTTGGGCCCTAATTAGGTTTGTAGAACCACTCAGGCTAGTTAATTTGAATTTGAACCCATCAATATGTAAGTATACATAACCAAAGGGCCAGACAATGCAATTTAATATTGATTTTAAAAAAATCAATATTAATTCGCTAATTCGAAACCTAAACAGTCAAGAGAATATTCTTGTTTAGCACGACTCTTTTAGTTTAGCATCATTCTTCAATCGAAGCCGTTCAATACTCACCTCAGCCATAGATCTACACCGTTGATTTTTCCCCAAAAACAATTATAAATAGCCATCGCATCGTGTATTTTCTCTGCCAAAATACTTCCACGAAATAAATTAATAAAAATACAAAAATGCTTTTTGACTTTTCAAATTAAAACACTATATTCGTTTTTAGCCCATAACAAATTTTAAATTTTAATTTTAGTCCGAAAATTGAATTTTCCATTAGATATAAATGGATTGGACCCAAATGTGTCTAAAAGTGGTAAATGTAATGTGTATTTTGTCCACCTCAGAACATGGTGGCCAAAAGTCCAACTTGAGGGACGAAAAATGTAATTATCTCGAATTAGAGAGACAATATTTAGTTTGGGAAAATGAAACAATCTTTGAAGTTTTGGCTTAATATAAATGGTTAGTAACACTCTTATTTATTTGAAGAGACCTTCCTAATAAATGGCTGGAATTATCTTAATTTAGTGGCTACAATTTACTTAGTAGAACTAATCATAATAGATAAAGCTAGACTAGATTTTTAGAACATTGACCTAATTGACTACAACTTCTAGAATATGTGTTATTTGAACTTTCTAGAATATGGGCTCTTACTTCGTTTTACAAAATATAATCTTCAAGACTAAGATTAAATCAAATTTATTTTCAACATCCCCTTAAATTTGATTTGTCATTGCAAGAAATATTTCTCAATTTGATAAAAGTCTTTATGTTTGAGCCTCTTAGTAAAGTGTTAACAACTTGATCGTTTGACTTCACATATATCATTTGCCCGTCTTTTGTTGCAACTCATTCTCTTATGGATTCTTTGCCAATGCTATATAGTTGACTATGTATTCTAGTTTTCTCAATTCCTCGACTAAAAAAAAAAAACGTAAAAGAAAAAAAAAAAAAATTAGAAAAGGATAAACGAGAAGCCACAACAAATTCCTCAAGACGCTCGAATGAGAGGCGGAATCACTCTCGTACGAGAGGCGGCATGACTTTCTTCATCTTTCTCCCTTCTGTGTTTTTGGGACTCGTTTTTCAAAATTCCAATCATCAACTGTTCGGAATATTTTTGAATTGGAATTGGAAACATATGTAGAATTTTTGAAATTTTCAATTTTCGATCCAGTTTTAATTTCTAAATAAAAATTTGACTTTTTCGGTTTACGTTACTTATATATAATAATGCATTTTGCTACTTTTGATAGTCTGGATAATTCTTAATTTTCTTTCTCTAGGTTTTTTTTTTTCCTTATATATTTCGGATATACGATTATCTGTGAGATATGTGGATTATATAGATGACTTGAAGTTTCTATGATTAAAAATGAGTCACTGGTGAAATTCATGCTATTGATTTTTTGTAAAATTCGGTGTTCTTATTTTTTGAAAAATTCTAAAGTTGTATGAATTTCAGAATTTCCGAACGATACCAAATTATGTAATTTCTTAAACTTTTTGGAATTGAAATGAGTTTCTAGATTTCGAAATTTGAAATGATTTTGTACTTCCTCCCATCCAACTTTCACTTAGCTAATTTTCCCTAAAATGTTTCTTTTGGAAACTATTTTCTCAACTCAAAGTCAAAATTTACACCTGTAAACTCTGATTTATTATCTTCGAGCAACTTCAATGAACTTATTAAATGGGGTATAAAAACCTTTAATCACCATTTTCATAGTTAAAAAAATAAAAAATTATAACTTCAATGGAGTTATCAAATGAAGATTGTATTTTAATATTTTGTCTTCCGAGATATAAAAATACATCCTGCGGAAAAAAAAAATATCAAATGTGAGTTATGAACTTAAACACCTCAATGTTCATTAACAAAATGACATACATACGACAATTAGATATATAAACTAATTTAATTATTTTTAATTAACAATTATTTAATAGGTATGTTTAGATTAGGGCTGGGACTGGGTTGGTTTTTATCCGCCAACCGATCCATTACCGACTATATTTTTAGACGGATAATCAATTTTTAACCGACCCATTTGATCGGGTCGAAAATTTCAACCAACCCATCTATAATGGTTCGGTTGATGGTTTCTAATATTATCAAAAGTTGGTTGACCGATAATTATCGGTTATCCAACTATACTATTAAAATTTTATTAAAAATATAAAATAAAGGCCGTGTTTTTTTAAGTAGTTATTGAAATTATCAAAATTATTAGTATTTTAAAATTTAAAACAATCAACAAAGAAAAAACATTGACTTAAATCTTCAACGAGTTTCTTTATGCCCAACCTTAAACAAAAAGCCGCAAAACTTCACTAAATCTCTTGTGGATGTTTGAAATTACTTTGAATTTTCTAATTATATTTTTTCGTTAAAATGTTATTAATTATTTTAAACTGATAAATGATGATGGCGCCGTGACATTACACAAAATGTGGATATTTTTTTTGATAAGTACACAAAATATGGATATGTTTACTCCAAAATTTGAATTTTTCTTAAGTGAACTAGGTGGCGGGTATAAACCATCAACCGACCCATTCCGGAACCAAATATTCGGTTGCCAACCATCAATCGACCCACAAAGGTTGGGTCGGTAACGGTTTTCAAATTTGAGCAAAAATGGTTTGACGGATGGGTCGGTTTTTAGGCTGGTAATCGACCGACCCAACCCAGTCTCAGCCCTAGTTTAGATAAGTATCAAAATAAAATATTAAATATCAAATAAATTAATAGATATATATTCATATTTGGCGAAGAAAAAGGAAGACTCAGAATAGAGGTCATTTTGCCAATGTAGACTTCGTTCAAATAGATTAAACAAATTCAACATGAAACGGTGTCGCATCCGACTACTTTTTTGCTTACTAATTTCATATTTTGAAAATGGTGGTGGTGATGATGTTCATCATGTATTCTTTTCCAGTTGTATTTGAATTCATCAACTTAACTTCCATATATATATATATATATATATATATATATATATATATATACATAGGAGAGGGGTTTCACTTAATTCTCTTGTGTTTTCTAGGGGTTTCTTTTTTTTTTTTTTTTTTTTTTTTAAAATAATTAATGATGATTTTTAAGAATTCAGTATTGGGGAGTTGTTTGATGCTAATAGCATTAATCTGTTGGTTTAATGCGAAGAGCGGCGAAGCTTTAGGGACGTTCGGATTGGACATCCACCACAGATATTCCGACACCGTTCAGCAATTCTTGAATGATGATGGTTTGCCGGAGGAAGGTACGGTTGACTACTACACCGCCTTGGCCCACCGTGATCAGCTCCTCAAGGGCCGCCGCCTCGCCGGCACCACCACCGCCACCACACCCATCACCTTCTTCGGTGGCAACGAGACTTACCGAATCAGCTCTCTTGCATTGTGAGTTATATTTCTTTTTCGCGAAAATTGCATGTCACCCCCTATAAATTTTTGATTCTCGCACTTTACCTGCTCAAAATTTAAAAAACCGAATGTCCCCCTTCAAAATGTTATACTTGTTGCAGATTGCCCCGATAGCAAAGTTCCGATATATTATTAACCAGAATTGAGTGTGTTTTTTTTTTGCACGTTGCTCCTTTAAATGTTATTTTTGTTGCACATTGCCCCTTTAAAATGTTATTTTTGTTGCACAATGCCCATCGAAAATTGGCTTTTGGGGCTAAGTGCAAACCAAATCAATATTTCGAGGGGTATCTCTTTTCTAAATTTTTAGGGGAGAAAAGTGCCAAAATGAGACATTTATAAAGGGTGAAGTGCATTTTATCCTTCATTTTTTTTTCGTATTAATAATTGTGCCCCGTTTATTTAATTTGCAGCTTGCACTATTCACTTGTTTCCGTGGGCACCCCTGCTTTGACATTCCTTGTGGCGCTCGACACCAGCAGTGAGCTATTCTGGATACCATGTGACTGTATCAACTGTGCACGTAGCTTAAGCCTGCCTTCAGGAAAGGTACGCACGTACGTTCGTTTTTAAATTGTAATAAGCCCTCGTTCGAAATCCCTTTGGTGCCTGTGTGTAAATACCATTATAAGATAATGTTTTTGTTTCGAACAAATCCCTCAAACTAGTTATGCAGCATCATTTTGGTAGGTTACGACGTACGTAATTGTTTTGTTGATCGTAATTTGTATCTCTAATTGTTCTGAAATATAATGAATTCGAATGCAACAGATACGGAAGCTAGACATATACAGTCCTAGTACGTCGACAACTAGCACGACAGTTCCATGCAGTAGCCCTATGTGTGGGCCCACAAGAGGATGCTCGACCAGGCTTAGTGCTTGTTCTTACCAATTATTGTACGGCAACACCTCAACTGCAGGGATATTGGTTAATGATCTTTTGCATTTGGGTACGGATACTGATCCACAAGACCCTATTGATGCCCCAATTACATTCGGGTGGGTTTTTTTTCTTCCTCTCTTTTCTCGATAATTTATTTAAAAAAAAAAGATTCTTGTTATGTCACTGAATTTACATTTGATCAGATGTGGAATGGTTCAAACCGGCGAGTTCTTGGACGGTGTTGGTCTTAATGGTCTATTCGGACTCGGTATAGGCAGTGAATCCGTGCCTAGCATTTTAGCTAGCAAAGGCGTTACGGCAAATTCTTTCTCAATGTGTTTTAGCCGTGACGGGCTTGGAAGAATCGAATTCGGAGATACAGGAAGCCCAGATCAAGAAGTCACTCCATTTAATCTTCAACAATCACAGTAATCATGCATTAAAACTTCAGAATTTTTCTTTCGTCCCTCTTTTGTTTTTCCATCTCGATTTAATTTATCTTCCGATATTTTTTTGGCAGACCGTACTATAACGTCACCGTGACACAAATTTCCGTGGAGGAAAGTGTCACTAATGTAGAGTTCACAGCAATCTTCGACACTACCTCCTCATTCGTATACTTGAGCGATCCGGCTTATTCGATTATTGTCAAAGGAGTATGTTATTTTACATAATTTCATATTCCCTTTTTCGAAGATTGATAGTCTCTACTCTCTGATGTTATTTCTTCTCTCGCAGTTTGATTCTCGAATAACCGAGGTCCGTTATATACCTTCAAGGCGGATCATTTTCGACTATTGCTATTCGCTCGGGTATGATCTTTTTTTCTTTTTTTACGAGATTTTATGATCGGGAATTATATATTATTGTGTCATGATTTATATTTCTATGCAGTGCAACTCAAGAAAGTTATACCATTCCAATCTTGGCCTTTACAATGGAAGGTGGAGGCAAATTTTATGTTCATGCACCAACAATTGTTATTCGACGAGATCAGGTGATAATTTTTATTTTTTTTTACGGGATCAATTCATGCGAGAATTTGATCACGAAAAATAAAAAAGAAACTCAAAGATTTATCTATTATATTCTCATATGCATGCAGGGGGGATTAGCATATTGTCTTGCTATTATCGAAAGCGAGGATGTTAACATCATTGGACGTGAGTGTATCGGAATTATATAAAAATGTTCGATTTTCGCTTGTTTCAATTACTTTTGCTCTTGGGTCCAAATTAAATGAAACGAACGCCTATTCCCGAAATCATCAATACACGTTATTATGTATTTAACATAAATTCATCGAATATTAGTCATGTTTATTTTATTTTTCTTCATAATTTACTATACTAATTATTAAATACCTTGATTTTTCATCACAGAACATTTTATGACGGGACACCGATTAGTCTTTGATCGCGAGAAGATGGTCTTGGGCTGGAAAGAAGCAAATTGTCAGTTGATTTCATCTCGTTTTCGCTGTTTTCATTTTTCGTATATAATCTCTATATATAAATTTGAAATTGCATTGTGACTTCTCAGGTTATGATTCCATATCATCCAACTCTCCACCCATAAGTAAGGGAACCCCCTCTAGTACTCCACCACCACCACCACCATCGCCTTCCGCTTTTATTCCGGTAGCTAACGGAACTCGTACTCCCATTTCACCACCTCCGCCGCCGTCACAGTCACCACCACCACCACCACCGACGAAGACACTCTTAGGAAGAGGTGGTGCCGCCCGTTTGAACTCCATGAGTACCGGACTTGTGATGGTCTTACTTGCCATTTTCGCTCTTGTTTGATTTCCAGCATTCTTTCTTCTGTCATGAGATTCTTACCTAGCTTGTAGTACTTTGCCTTGTTTGATTTTGTGTGACTATTATGAAATTGATTCCTCTCTTCTACTTAGATTGTCCCTTCTCTTTCATCTCTTCTACAATTTGGAGAGAACTATAAACTAATATTAATATTTCACCCCTGAGATGCACGGGGATAATTTCAAAATATGAAAATACGTGTTTAGATAAAATAATCAAACACAAATTTTGATTAGTTGACATATAATACGATATACTAATATTAATATTGATATTGATACTGATACTAATATTGATATTAATACTAATTTACCAATCTCAGTATTAATACCAATAAAAATGCGAATCCTAAAACGCTAATGCTAATACTAGTTCTAATCATAATCCTAATTAACATCCTAGTACTATTACTACTACTACTATTACTAGTACTACTACTATTACTATTACTATTATAAGTGGGGGTTCGAGGGTAACACCTCTGAAAACATGTTTAAGATTTTTTTGTTGACAAAAGTAGAAAATAGAAAAAGAAAGAAAAAAAAAATTAGGACTTTTTGTATTAATTTGGGCTTTTGGTTTAATAAAAATTTGAAAGACTAATTAATAAAAGTTGGGTGGAGTAAATAAATATATAGATATAATATAATAGAAGTGACAATCTATTTCTATTGTCACTATATATCATAAGTGATCCTCAAAAAATTATATTTAATAGTGCAACAACATTACTGAAAGGAAATTTTATTTAAAAAAAAAAAAAGAAAAAAAAAGTCCATACCAATCGATAGATGAAATCATATTAAAATTAAGATTTGAGGGCGTGAAATTGGTATATATAGACTGTAAAAGTAGAGTTTGGAGTATTTTTTCAAAAAAAATTTTTGTACTCTAGTGAAATTAAGGTTTGAGGAATAAAATTTAAAAAATATATATATATAAAAAATAAAAATAAAAAACACAATAGTGAAATTAAGATTTGATGGGCTAAAATATTTTTTCTTTCTTCAATATTAGTCTATTAACATGAACAAATAGCCAAAAACTATATTTTATAAAGAAAGGTATATTTCCAAAGCAAATAGCTCGTGCATGCATGCAATGAAGGGAACAAGATCTTTTACCTTCCGAATGTATTTTTTTCTTACCGTTTACAAGAATTACTACAAACAGAAAGAAGCAAGCAAAAACTTACCATTTAAAATTGAAGGTACTGATGAGATTTTGTTCCACAAATATTGAAAATTATTTTCTCACAAGAAACGAAAATATTTATGTTGGAATATATATATTATATTCCCTAATTTCTTTCCACTAATTACCTTACAAAAAAAAATTAATTTTTTTTAGTTTACCGTAACAATTGTATGCATGCATGGTTGTTTTCCACCATATCTGTACGTACACCAAGAGCTTTGTAGAGAGAGAGAGAGAGAGAGAGAGAGAGAGAGAGAGAGAGAGAGAGAGAGAGAGAGAGAGAGAGAGAGAGAGAGATGGAGAGAGAAACTACGGTGTTGATAATCGGAGCAGGGCCGGCCGGTTTAGCGACTTCCGCCTGTCTAAACCTAAAAAAGATACCAAACATGGTCTTAGAGAGAGAAGATTGTTGTGCTTCCCTATGGAAGAAGAGAGCTTACGACCGATTGAAACTCCATCTCGCGAAACAATTCTGTCAACTACCGCACATGCCGTTCCCTTCCGACGCACCCACGTACATCCCCAAACACGGCTTTATCCGATACTTGGACGACTACGTTTCCTATTTCAACGTCAGCCCTTTCTGTAACCGTACCGTGGAGTCTGCGTCGTTCGATCGCTTGAGTGGAAATTGGGTTGTCTTTGCCCAAAATACCCTCCTAGGCGAGACGGAGAAGTACTCGGCCAAATTTCTAGTCGTTGCTACCGGGGAGAATGGTGAGGGGTATATACCTCGAATTCCGGGTTTGGATTCGTTTAGTGGGGAGGTGATGCATTCTAGTGGTTACGGAAACGGGAAGAAGTTCGAGGAGAGCAAAGTGTTGGTTGTTGGAAGCGGGAATTCGGGTATGGAAATCGCGTTTGATTTGTCGAATTCGGGTGCTAAAACTTCTCTAGTTGTTCGTAGCCCGGTGAGTACATATATACTATGCAAAAATAAATTCAAAGTTTATTGCGATCAGTATTCTTGTGTTATATCGAATTGCTACAAAATTATTCCATGTTAATTTATTGGCATGATTTCGTTTTTTTAGCAATTTGTATCCCTGATTAGGTGTTGCATGCTAAAAAAAATTGAATCACAAGGGTCTTTTTGCTAATAAAATAATATAAAATAACATGAGGTAGCTTTCTAGCAGTTCGATATAAGACAAAGGGTACTAATTGCAATAAACCTGAATAATTTACTTTTCTTTTCTTGAATTTTAGGACATTAATTAATTAAGTTATTCATTTATTGATTTATTTAATTTTTCGAACGTTATTTTTTAGGTGCACTTTCTAACAGAAGGGATGGTGAAACTTGGGATGGTGTTATTGAAGTATATAAGGGTAGATTTGGTGGACAAAATTTTATTAATGTTGAGCAAATTCAAGTATGGAAATCTTAACGAATACGGAATCGAAAGGCCGAGCAAAGGGCCCTTTTATCTGAAAAAAGCAACCGGCCGATCTCCGGTCATTGACGTTGGCACCATTGCCAAAATCCGAGCACGAGAAATCCATGTATATACACGTACATACATACTTTTTACACACACATGCACACACACACACACACACACACACATATGTGTGTGTGTGTGTGTGTGTGTGTATATATATATATATATATATATATATATATATATATATATATATATTGATTATTTAAATATGTTATGGTAGGTGTTTGCCATCCATCGGGAATGTGAACGGACGATTCATTAAATTTGTGAACGGTGAAACGGAAAGTTACGACGCCATTGTTTTCGCCACCGGCTACAAGAGCACAGTGAGGAGATGGCTTAAGGTGATAACTTTAATTTTAATTATATACTTCCACATATTTTATTATTATTATTTTATGAAAATAATATTTAAAAAAAATAAAAAGATAGCTAATTAATTAAATGCGATTTTACAAATTGTAGGATGATGGAGGGCTTTTTGGTGAAGATGGGATGCCGAGAATGGGAAATCAGACTCACTGGAAAGGGCAAAACGGTCTTTATTGTGCTGGATTTGCGAGGGCGGGATTGTTCGGGATATCCAACGACGCTAAAGCTATTTCGCAAGACATAGGATTGATTCTAAGTGATCAGATTTGATGAATATATATAGATATTCTTCCTGGTGTGAAATAAGAGAGTATAACTCCATTATTTTTTTTCTTTCTCTTAATTCAAAAGATATTAATAAATCAAGTATACGTTTTTTTTTTCCTTCTTGTTTTAATGTTTTATAAGTATTGATGATTTTATTTTTAGGGGTTTATCTGATCTTTTATGTTTCCAAAACTTTTATGTTGTTATACTAATACATTTCATTATAATCCAAACTCAATTGCATCACTTGTGTCTATTGATCAGTTCGAAACCTAGTTGAGTCGAGTAAATAAGCTTGTAGGGTGTTTTACACCTAGGGCCCTAAAACCGGCCAGCTGGCTTGCGAATCATTTGGTTGAAAACTCGTTACATGGGTCAATTAGAAAGCCAAGTGAACTACACCTTGCTTGACCACAATAATGAATCAATCTTACGTTTTCTTTATCTTTAAGACAATGCACTTTCCTACTCTACAAATATTTTTCATGTCGAAAAAGCTACCACTAGATATGTGTGTGTTTGAGTTGGGATTAATAAACTCGTTGGTAGCTTTGGAGCTCGGAATTTCGGAGATTGCATGAACTAGTTCATGCTGCAGTATCTATTTTTAACTTTTCTCCTAATTCACGTTTATTCTCTTATGCATTTTTATTCTTTGTGATTTTGCATTGGGGCATTGATAAAAATAAAATAAAAAAAGAGAGAGATACGAGGGTTTTTATATTTTTGTGCCGGTTCAAATTGTTTTTTTTGGTAACCGGACCGAACGGGCTTACTCCTCATATTCCTAGGTAGGGCTGGGCGTGGGTCAGTTTTCTCGACCAATCGATCCACTTTCGACCTGCTTCTTTCAGCCGATAACTTTGTTGTGAGGCCGGTAATTTTAACCGACACATATTTAAATGGATCGGTCGGTGGTTCCCAATTTACTCAAAAGTCGTTGGTCAAGTAATATCAGCCAACATTCTTTGTTAATAGATATTTAATTGTAATTCTTATTTTTTTTATGTTAAAATAATATTCAAAATAAGGCTGTGTTTGATAAAATTAAGCACTTAATGCTGAATGCTGAATATATAGCTGAATGGTTAAGAACATTATCTGAATGCTTAATGCTGAACAAATAAGTTTGTTTGATAATTATACATCTGAATAATATAATATTAGGATATTATCCCTAAGAATAAATTATTTATTAGTTGAACTAATAGTACTTTTTATGTTAAAAAAAATCATTAAATATGTGGAGTTAAAGAATCATACATTTCTTCATTATAAAATAATATAATTAAAATGAAGATTTTACGAAAGCCATAAACTAGACCCATTGTAATATTTCAGCCACAATATAATATTATAAAAAAATTGGTTAATGGGTACAACCCAAGACCACTGCTTAGAATATACTGCTTTTTAATTGGATATGAGTTTCAAAGAAAAAGACAGAGAGTTGGACGCCAAACTCTATTTTTTGTAGGGATAAATATTTCAAGAATCCGTTCAGAGAAGCTCTGACTCAATAAGCAAGAGTTTTTTGACTGATTCGGTAAGTGGTAAATTGAATCATTAAGATGTCTACACCAAACATACTTAATGGGTTGTGTCTGACCGATTCAGAGTTTTATGCATATTCAGAGCTCATTAAGAGCAATCAAACACACCCTAAGTTAAAACTCAAAAACTCAAAACACTAATTTATAAATCTCCGTACTATTTCTATTTTATAATTCTTATTTCATATTCTTCATTATATATTTACTTACTGTAGAAGTTTAAAAAAAAAACTCACAATTTTAAAGTTAAGATTTTTATAACATAAGTTTTCCCAAAATTTCTAATATCTTTTTAAAAAACTTTTAAAAACATCTTATTAATGTATTAAATAAATAATAAAAAATACATGACCGATAATACCAACCAACCAACCATTGTTTACCCGGTAAAGTCGGTTGCCAATCATTACTCGACCCATAATGGTCGGGCCGGTAATGGTTTTCAATTTTCAGCAAAATCGGATGGTCGGGTCGGGTAGGTTATTGGCCGATAATTGCCCGAACCGACCCACAGCGAACCCTATTCCTAGGTTTCTTGTAAAGTTTGACAAAATTAGTTGTCTTGGTTATTTAATGCTGAATTTAGTATCTCTATCCTTTGATTTTTGCTTTAAATTATTATGTGGCAGTGGTTTTGCGATTTTGTGTGCATGTTAGTGGTTGTTGCTCCTTCCTTTTTAGTGCAAAAGTTCATCATAGTCCATTGTAGTTTATCTATACATGGTGATTATTGCCCAGAAAATGGGAGAAAAGAACGTTGAAGGTGTTATGAACACATGGGAAGTTTAGACGACTATTGCGACAATGCGTTCAGACAGTTGTTAGAACAATGCAAGAACACAATGGTAGTTTAAACAACTGATGCGACAGTGCATTAAAACATGTTGATGGAACAGTGCATGAACAAATTGGTAGTTCGAGCATAATGAAAAGGAGGTAATTTTACTAAAGCAGATTTAAATATTGATGATTATCTGATAAATTTTATTAATTTGTTTCCGGTGTTATTTTGGCGAAAAGAATTTATACAATTCGATATACTGTTCTAACATTACAGTGGTGTTTACTCATGTTATTTCACTACCCTTGTTCATGCAGATACCATACATTTAGAGTGAGTAAAGTTTTCTGATCAACCTATGCCAAAGTGGAAGATTGTTATATTTCAAATGGGAATTGAACTTGATTAAAAAAGGTGTGAGATATCTGCTTACCAACTGTGCTGCACGGACACAAATACGCGGACACGGCGATGCGCGGATACGGACACGGTGATACGACATTTTCAAAAAACTAGGATACGGACACGTGGGGGATACGCGTAAATATAAAAATATAGGGGTACATTTATAAATTATAAAAATATATTTATAAATATAGGAGTATATTTATAAATTATAAAAATATAGGGGTACATTTATAAATTATAAAAATATATTTATAAGTCGCCAAAACGCATAAGAGAACCGCTCGCCCTTGCTGCTCGTGTTTTTGGCCGAAGTTGTCCCTAGAGGTTTGGAATTTTGGATGGACTCTCAAAGAAGACAGAGGAAATATGTGTTACAGAGAAAAGAAAATGCATATTTTTTATTAGATCTTTGTCTTAAACATAAAAGCCGTGTCCCAACTTTTTTAAAATTGTGGACACTGCCCAACATGGGTATCCTACTTTTACCAAAATTACGACACGGCCTGACACAAGTGTCTGAACTGTATCCGAGCATGTCTGAGTATCTAGGTATCAGATAAGGGAACTCTTCATCTTCTAGAAGTGTTCGTGCAACATAAGTTACCAAAATTACCTATGCTCATATATATCACACGGGAATGAGAAGGAAATCAATTGCAAAAAATCTTATTCCCACTATCCCAGCACACCCTTGTGTTACAAAAGAAAATGGAAGAATTCTTTTCAATATTTTGGATTTTTTTATTGTTATTGATTGCCTATTTATTTTATATGGGAATTATTGTTTGAGCATAAGGTATACCCCATATAATTCCTTTGTGTATTTTAACCAAATTGAATTCCTTGTACACGAGGATTCTTCAAGAGATTATAAAACAACATACCACAACACGTTAATTAAGTGTTCTTTTTTTGAGAAATTATTCAGATAACATATTTTTTTTTTTCTTTTTGAGAGAGGAGCTTAAAAGATTTCGCGAGAAGGTCGATTCGCCAACTAAAGGGATTCATCGTCGAAGGTAGTTTAAAACCATGCGGAGTGGAGGACGTACTGCAAAGTGAAAATCATAATTTTGAGTATTATATAAGAACGACGTCAACGAAGAGAGAGTCTTTAATTTTGAATAAGTCCAATTATTGTATTCGTAAAACTTAAATTAGTGAATTCTTATTTGCAAGTGCACGTGGATTGAGAAAATGTTTGTATTTAATCATGTTAAAATTTTGTCTCATTTATTATTTACAAACTATCGCGAACGAACTGTTACAGAGCAGTAACTAAACCTGAATAAGATACATATAATATAATTGTAGGAAATGAAAACTAACATTAAGTTTAATTTTAAATGAAACGTGGAAAGGAGAGAGTTACCCTCGAAATTAAATGCTACATTTGGTTATTAATTTCACGGAGTGTTTGTTAATCGTAGATCTACACATAATCACACACACGCACACACATATATGTGTATGCGTGCTTAGTGGGTGGTTATTTAACCTCTTATCTACAGTTAACAAACATTCGGTGTAAATAACCAAGTATAGCATCTAACTCCCCGAAGTTCACCTAATTATACTCGGATTGAGTCAAAACTTGTGTGCAAATCTTAGGTATACAAATGGTTGAAATACACCCGATATAAATAACTAAGTGTAGCATCTAACTCCTCGTGTATAAATATTGTACTGAGGATTTTTCTCATTAAAAAAAAAAAAAGGAAAATATTGGGGTTCAAATAATAGGCCTTTTATTACAACTCTACTCCCCTTCAACTCCAAATTCACTGTACATATATCCCAAGGAAAAGAAATAGTAGACTCATAAGTCAGAAGAGAGAGGTATTTTCCACTGCGACCCTATAAAGAATTTTGCCAGATTAGCTGATGCTCTTGTATGTATATATATAAATATATTGACTTTTACCAGAAACAGATTAAACAAAGGGTTTTTGCAAGAATGACTTCTAATTACTGAAAAAATCCTCGTGTTAAAAATATTAACGAAACCAGCCCTATAAAAATTAGTCGAAGCCAATAAGGTTCTTACGAGCTGAATGTGTGTTGCACATGGGGATTTCGCGACTTGGGGTATTTTTGACCTGAAAAGACCAACATACCCTTCAAAAGTTAGAGAATTATAAAGGGAAAATTCCACTTTCCCCCTTGTACTTTGGCTTGGTATCACTTTACCCCCTTCTACTCTCGATTGCATCGATTTGCCTCATGCACTTAAAAAACTGTCTCAATTTGGCCATCACTAT